TATTTAAAAACTAGCACCTAGCACAAAGAGAATTAATAGTGTAACAAGCGTTAAATTTAGTAAGCAGGGTACAACCATTACTCACCCAGCATGAAAAGGGAGGCTTAAAAAGCTCAATCACGTGCTAACAGCAACTACCTACTAGCAAAACTGTTGATGGCTTCTTCTTTTGAGTATTTATTAAAATAAGCAAATGACGCCTTTCACACCCTGACGTATGCCAGCACTAATTTATCATCGAAATTTACCATCGAAACGAATTGTAGGAGAACCGGTTATCCCCAGGCAAAGTCGAACTCTTGATTTCCAGTATGATTGCAACGCACTTTCCTGAAGGTCATGCCTGTCATTAAAAAATAGTTAAAAAAACAAAAGTTTTTCATGCCGTTACTTAGACAAAGAGAGCTGCTAATTCTTCTTTTCGCTTTTTTTGGATATTTTTCAGAGTAACCTATTTAGATCACTAAAATTTGCAATCGATCTATTTTTATCCGCAAAGTGTCGTAATGCGGAAAGAATATCTGAACGGAACTGATTCACTTTAACTGTTTGCAGTGATACACTGAAAGAGTGTCTTTTTCGCTTCTGCATACGAAAAACACCAAAATATTTTGAAGTGCGTGGAAAATACGGGTGAAAAACAAACTTTTAAGCTGATAAGTGCATTGGAAAGCAAGATTTGAGTCAAGGAAGTTAAAATTGGGGCAAAATCAGATGAAAAAAAAATAATGGGAAGCTTGGAATCATATTATCAAAGTAATGACATTCTCAAGACTTTGTAAGATTCGGCAAAGCCTCAAAAGCCTAGTTAAGAAGGGATTTAACACCGAATTCCCCTAATTTTTGGATTGTGCCAGTTCAAAAACTGTCAGTGATGCGTAAGTTGTTATCAATGGAAGCTCTGCATTTGTAATAAACTTCTCGGTTGTGCACCGGGTAAAATTATACTGCGGAGTGACAACTCTAAAATTATGAATGTCGCAGCAGCACATATCAGTCTAAATTGCTTGAACTGGGAAATTTACTTAGATATCGGCCGTCGCCTGAGAAATTTCCGATCATATTGAGCCAGGATTGCGATGATCGCCGGGTGCAGGAGACTGTGGCAAACTTTGGCACCAGGGTTCGATACATAAAGGTTTGTACTGTCCTCGGTTCCTCATTTGTTTAAGCATCAGCTTTAGTGTGCCAATACTCTCCGGATTTGATGCAAAAGTGCAGTGAGCTGAATCCAGGACAGAGAGCAGATTGTGCTTGTTGAGTTATAAAATTATGTGCTCTAACTTTCACATATCTATTCGATAAACTTCAGAAGACAAATTGCCCTCCGCTCGTTGCGTCGCCCTTTACCAGGTATCTTCTGTTCTGATAGGGACATACTTCTGTTTTAGCTGCTATACTAAAATAAGGAATATGTCGGCGCACATCCATCGCCTTAAGCTTCCTAATTTTGATTTCACGATAATTGTAACTGTAAGAAGCGACTGGACTTGTGTGTATAGGATGAAGGATAGATGTGCGGGATTAGGATGATGTGGGTGAGTGGTATGGGATGGAATAAATTTGGGATAGCAGTAGAGGAGAGTTCGGGGAAGTGGGACATGAGAGAAGGATATAATTTCGAAATTTCACGGCTCCAGCTAAATAAATGGCCAACGCACGGGCTGCCCGTGCGAAGATGCGTTTTTTGCAGAGTTCCCCGCA